AAAAAAAAAAACAAAAAAATAAAGTTATAAATGTATAGCAATAAAATTATTCCTACTGTAATTCATTATTTATTTTTGTATTTAATGGGGGAAATGAATTGAGAAAACCACAGCCATTAATGAAATAAAATATTTTTTCTAAATTTATGAGAAAAATCTCTTGGTGTATTCATTTTATAAATGGCAATGTTTGAATGAAAATGTGACTCCTTTCATCTCCCTTTAAGTAATAAGATGAATTAGAAAGCTAGGAAGCAGATGACTGCCTTGGCCTATAGAAGAGAATGGTAAAACCTCAAAGGAATGAGACAGAAAATTTAGGCAAGCGTCTAAGAAAAAAAAAAAAATGTTGCTTGAAATGGTTAGTGTGCTCAAAATATACTCTGATCTTTTTCTGAATCTTTTAACACACAGGAAAGGAAGTCAATAGTACTTTGGGGTTGTTTTAAAATTAATAGCAACATAAAACTTATTATAATAACAGTGAAACCAAAGGTATTATTCTTTAAGCTTTTACTATATGCTAAGAAATATACCACAAACTTTACATATATTTACTTATTTATTCCTCATGAAAATCCTGAGGTAAACATTCTTTTACTTACTTTTCAGATAAGTAAACTCATTCACAGAGGATAAATAATTTACCCAAGGTCACAACAACTTATACATACATGATGGTGTAAGTGGGATTTTAATCCTGAGTTTATCTGATTCCAAAGAATACATATTACGATATTCTAGCAGCACTGAAAGAGAAATATTTTAAAAAGTTCAAAGGCTCAAAAGAGTTCTATAGCTGCAGCCAATAAACTACTCTCTAGATTTGGCTTGCAAAACTAAAAGAAATACGTTAGCTTTAATAAAGTGACAAGTTTTGAGAGAGAGAGAACTGGAGGAAAAAGAGCTTTCAAAATACCAAAACTGTAAGTGGTTGGCCAAGAGCCATGGAGGCCTAGGAACCAAGGATTTTGAAGTTAAAGGATTTCTATAGAATAATAGTCTATGCCAAGTTTTTTAGTCAAGCAATTATTAGAAGTAGTTTTCTTATGAGCTAAGCCAGTTAGCCTATCTGCCTAGATACTAGAGACTTTAATATCTTAGCTCAACTGATTCTTCATTTGTAGCTATGTATAAGGGTTGATTATAAAGAACATTTATTAAGTACTTATTTTGTACCAAATGTTGTTCTACATTTGATCCTCACAACAACTCTACAAGATAAATACTTCTAATATCATTCTCATTTTAAGGATGAAGCAATTGAGTCATGGTTTGAATGCAGAAACTGATTTCAGAGCCCATACTCTTTATCATTATATTATGCCAATGTTACGGTAAACTAGTAACTACTGTCATTAGGCAAGTAGTGTTTTATTCATCATCATTCTCCTATAAGAGGTATTTACCCAAAATGGCTTACCTTATATTGCCACTTAGTAAAGAGGATTTAGAGATCAGTAGCCTTTGCATTAGTGTCACTTATTGAAAACTAATTGGAATTACAGTGAGAATATCATTATTTTACTTTCTCATAGAATGTTTTTAAGAAATGAACTCTATATAATCTTATATACTCTAAAATCTATGAATCGGTGTCATAGAAGTAGAAGATAAAGCTTACATATTTCAGGATAGTTGCTGACCTATTGAGGTTTTTATGTACTAACATTCAAAAGACATATTAAGAACAAAGCTTTGATATTCTGTAAAGTAAGAGTGGTTTTATTCTGTTTTGTTTATTTTTACCTACAATACTCCTAAGTGATATCATATGAGTTTGTAATAAATAATACACAAAATTAATAGCATTATTTATTAATATGAGTGACAGGTTGATTCCTCCTGAAATGGAGGATATGTTTTGAAAATTGGTTTAATTAAAATATTATGCTAATAACAGAAAACTCATATTAATTGAATGGTTTTATTTAGGTAACTATATTGGCTAGAGTAACCTTTCAATGACCGGATTATATAATCAAGTAAGGAAAATTCAAGCACTCTAACATCTTTGAAGTCCTGGCAATATTTTTAAGTTAGACACATTAAACATTTTATTTCAAAAGGCAAGTTAAATTTTACCAAAATGAACTTAAATACAATACTGGATTTAAATGACTGGCATCTAGTAATGCCAGATACCTATATGAAAAGTGAAAGTCAGAGAATCATTTCAAGGTTTCTATTATCTGGAGAACAATCTGAATGACTGAATTTTTCACAGTCAATCAAATATTGACTTTGTATATCTATATTATCAGTGAGTAATAGAGCTTTTTCAAGAATAATCTAGTATTTCTAGTAAAGTTTAAGTTACTTTGAGGTTTAATATACTTGGGGGAAATTAATAATATATGATATCAGATAAAATATATTTTATATTACTATACTATAAAATTTTAAAAGATACTTGAAAATGTTTAGGGTGTAGGTTAAACAAAGACTTTGAAAAAACAGGTTCCAATGTAATTGTTGTTGAAATCATGATCTATTTCTTTTTTGAAGAGAACTGTTTTCTCCCCCAAATTAAAAGATAGATGTGGTATACAAACATAAAAAGTGATTATTACTAAACATAATCAAACTGTCAACTACTCCATGGGAATAGTTTTGAAAAGTATGCCTTTTTGACAGTATAATATGATTATCTAAAATTCTGCATTTTAAAAAAGTTTCCTTAAAAAATTAAGTTTACCTATAACATCTATTAAATCAATGACAAAAAGCCAAAATACACTACTTTGATATACAAATCCAACTTTTTACCTTTAGCTTAAATTTTCTTTTAGAAATAAATGATCAAAGAACTCAATAATGATCCACAACGGGAAAAAAAATGAATCACAGAATACAATTAAAAGAAAAACTGATGCTGTTAATTTTAGAAATAATTTAATTTTGTTTATATCAAATGAAGGCATTTAAAGAAAGAGAAAAAAATCCAAATACACATTCTTGGGCAGTTCTGGTTGTGGGCATCCCACCCCCATCTGTAAAAGAATGCTTGTTGGCATTAAGTTCCATCAATTCATTTGTGATTTCTAAATTAATTCTGAAGGAAACCACAACTTACTTGAAGATCCTGCTGAGTGTCTGTGTGCTTGATTTTTTTTTTCTCTGTTCACAGACAAAGCACTTCCACTGGTCATGGAAAAAAGGTCTAAATCCCTGTCTTCTCTGCTTACAAGTCTTGCCTGGGAGCAATGGAAGAGAATGTATACAATCATGAAACAAAATATGGCATTTTCTGAACGCAGCTCACATTACCCCAAATAAACAAATAGGCTCTGTCAAACAACCTTCTTCAAAATGATACCACAATCCTTTATTGCTGCCCAGGCAGAACAAATGCACTATGTCAAAGCATTTTTTGCAAATAAGAGGCGATTTTAAAATTGAGGTTTGCTATTTGATTCTGTACAACAAAAGAAAACATTTTAGTACAGTAATTGTGATGAAAACCAATCTTAAAGACAGCTGATGAAACTTTAAACATCTTAGCATCATTTATTTACCAGTATATAATTTAATTCTTAATTGAATGTTAGAAATGTCATATTGGATTATTTTATCAAATATTTATATTTTACCACTTATAAGTATTAGTCTTATCATCAAAATCTCCTGAAATGCCTTTCATCCCATATTTGTATACTATGAAGTCACAGAACAACTCCACCTTCTCATCATAACGATTATAAATATAAAAATATTACACTTTAAGTCTAATTTGGGGGTCATGGTAAATACATAAAAATTTCAAGATACTTTAAGGACATAAGAATTAGATCATATACCTGATCTAAAATTACCTTTAAACTTTATTACTCTCTTGGAGTGAACTTTAGTTGAAAGAATCACTTCCTTCCTATAAAATATTATTTTGCATAAGGTCTAATATCTTTAAGTAAGAATTTATCAGGATTCAACCTGGAAGTAAGGGGAAATGCCATGATGGAAAGCAAAGCAGCCTCAGAGTAGCTGGGACTTAACCTAAACACATTATGCTTAAAATCCTGTGAGAAAACATAGTCCTTAATGTTAAATGTGATAAAAATTTAAATACAGCAAAATAAAGCCATAAAACAACCTCTGCGGTTAAAAGGCTGTCCTCGTATGATGTGGTACAAAAACTCACAGAACCAGAACCTAAAAATCATCCTTTTGCATATTCAGATTCTCGTCTTTCTCCTTCACATCCCCCTTCCCACCTTTTCCCACCGTCACACACATGAAATTCTAATTGCTAAGTAAGCAAGTGTTGCTATTGCTGAACTCAAAATAGAAGCCATTTTAAAATTTCAGTCACTTTTTGATGTACCTGGCTAAGCGATAAAATTGCATTGTCAAAAAACCTTAGTCGAAAACTGTTTAAAATGAAATAAACTGGCTTCCAACTTATACTTGTGATTAGTATGAAAAAGATTACACATTCTTTCTATTTATTTCAGTTAGTACACAAGAGTATGTATCTAAGGTTCTTATTAGAATACCTCCATCGATACTAAGGCTGAAAACTAATAGTCAAGAATAATAGGAAAAATTCCAAAGCAGTACCACCATTTTGGTGAGAAAAATATGTTAACCATAAAGTGTCTTGCAGCCAAAGACACTTTAAATATAAGCCTTGAGTTAAAAAAAAAAGTTTTATTTGTTTTAATATGATTGCATACTTTCACCACATGTGTTTAGGAAGTAGAAATCTCACTGTCCCCCAAATAAGATGCTACCTACATGTCAAGAAAATATTTGTGAATACTTGTCTTCCCAACATCTCATTATCATCTAAGTCATTAACATTCAAAGATTTGTTTCATCCAAGATAGGAAACAGTTAATGTCAGTAACTATTTAGGTCAGATTATAACAGACAATTTATTTCAGAAGTGAAATTTAACGAATTTCAAAATGGTACGAGCTGGAAGAGTCCATGCAAACCTAGAAATGTCATAAATGGGTTAGTCATATGTCCATCAGTGTAGCTGGCACAGTCAAATATATATTAATATTCAGATTCTATTTCTGAAAACACTGGCTTTTACATTGAACATCATCCACATCCTCTTAGTGTTAACAAATAGAGAAAACATTAAAAAAAATTTTCTTCTACACTATACAAAATGGATATACATAAAGCCTGAAGCAAACAGAAAACATTAACACTTCTACAACAATTAACTTTTAATTCTAAAATGCTATGGTTGTAACGAAGGCCTGATGGCACAGCGTTTAAGAGCTATTGCTACTAACCGAAAGGTCGGTGGTTTGAATCCACCAGCCCCTCCTTGGAAACCGTATGGGGCAGTTGCTATGAGTCAGAATCAACTAGATGGCAACGGGTTTGGTTTTGTTTTTGTATGGTTATAACACAATAAACAGTCTTCAGTTAGTGTCAGATAAGACTTTCCTAACTAATATTCCAATTCCAAAAGAATTGGTCAACATTCAACCATTTCAGGAGGAAGCATATGATCAGGAACCCATGGCACTGAAGGAAGAAGTCCAAGCTGCACTGAAGGCATCGGTGAAAAACAGGGCTCCAGGAATTGACGGAATACCAATTGAGATGTTTCAACAAATAGATGCAGTCCTGGAAGTGCTCACTCATCTATGCCAAGAAATTTGGAAGACAGTTACCTGGACAACCGACTGGAAGAGATTCATATTTATTCCCATTCCAAACAAGGTGATCCAACCAAATGTGGAAATTATCGAACAATATCATTAATATCACACGCAAGTTAAATTTTGCTGAAGATCATTCAAAAGTGGCTATAGCAGTACACTGACAGACAGGGAACTGCCAGAAACTTAAGTTGGATTCAGAAGAGGACATGGAAACAAGGACATCACTGCTGATGTGAGATGGATCCTGGCTGAAAGCAGAGAATACCAGAAAGATGTTTACCTGTGTTTTATTGACTATGCAAAGGCATTTGACTGTGTGGATCATAACAAATTATGGATAACATTGTGAAGAATGTGAATCCCAGAACACCTAATTGTGCTCATAATGAACCTGTACATAGATCAAGAGGCAGTCATTCAAATAGAACAAGGGGATATATGGCATGGTTTAAAGTTAGGAAAGGTGTGTGTCAGGGTTGTATCTTTTCACCATACTTATTCAGTCTGTATGCTGCGCATATAATCCGAGAAGGTGGACTACATGGAGAAGAATGGGGCATCATGATTGGAGGAAGACTCCTTAACTACCTGCATTATGCAGATGACACAACCTTGCTTGCTGAAAGTGAAGAGGACTTGAAGCACTTACTAATGAACATCAAAGACCACAGTCTTCAGTATGGATTACATCTCAACATCAAAAAAAAAAATCCTCACAACTGGATCAATAAGCAACATCATGATAAACTGAGAAAAGATTGAAATTGTCAAGGATTTCATTTTACTTCCATCCACAATCAACACCCATGGAAGCAGTAGTCAAGAAATCTAAAGACGCATTGCACTGGGCAAATTTGCTGCAAAAGATCTCTTTAAAGTGTTAAAAAGCATACATGTCACCTTGAAGACTAAGGTGCACCTGCCCCAAGCCATGATGTTTTCAACTGCCTCATATGCACACAAAAGCTGGACAACGAATAAGGAAGACCAAAGAAGAATTAACGCCTTTGAATTATGGTGTTGGGGAAGAATATTGAATATACCACGGACTGCTAAAAGAACAAACAAATCTGTCTTGGAAGAAGTACAGCCAGAATGCTGCTTAGAAGCAGGGATGGTGAGACTACATTTCACATACTTTGGACATGTTATCAGGAGGGACCGGTCCCTGGAGAAGGATATCATGCTTAGCAAAGTAGAGGATCAGCAAAGAAGAGGAAGACCCTCAAGGAGATGGATTGACAGGGCTGCAACAATGGGCTTAAACCTAATGATTGTGAGGATGGCACAGGACACGGAAGTGTTTGGTTTTGTTATACATAGGGTCACTATGAGTAGGAACCAACTCAATAGCACCTAACAACAACAACAACAATTAATATTTGATTATATAGCAAATGTTTATTAAATAGCAATTATTCAGAGTTCTCCTAGGTCTCTGTTTTCTGAACAGGCATCATTTATAGGCCCACCTATAAGGTTTATAATATTTCCCCATATTTTCACAATGAAATGAGGGTCTGAATCTGGGAACAGAACTTTCGAAGCATCTAGGAACTTAATGAAAAGTAGATATTTTCTCTCATTTAATAAAGAACATGAAGTTCCTCTTTCCTTTCCCAAGGTTACTTTCTGCATTATATATAAGCTGCCTTTTTCGTAAGGATTTTATTAAATATTTATTTTAAAAATTTGTATTTTGAGCAGTAAAAAAGATACAAAATAACATCCAGAATAACAAACATCTGTGTACTTACTACCCAGATATTTTAAAAGAGAAATAAAATGTTATAAAGATGAAGTCCCCTTACAAGTTAACCTTGCAGGTTTTCTACATATATATTCAAAGAAATTTAGAGTATTGTCATTAAAATTAACGTAAGTGGCATCTTTTTTCCTACAATTTTCTTTTTTCACTGTACATTATATCTGTGAGATCTAGACTTTGTTCATTCACTTTAACTGATTAAATAATATACAAATTATTGCATATACTAGTGGCGCAGTAGTTAAGAGCTTGGCTGCTAACCAAAAGATCGATAGTTCAGATCCGCCAGCTGCTTCTTGGAAACCCTATGTGGCAGTTCTACTCTGTCATATAGGGTTGCTGTGAGTTGGAATTGAACATACTATGAACATACTACACCATTGTTTGCACTATTTCTAGACATACGAGGGATTTAAAAACTTTTTAACCTCCTGTGCTTTGTTACATACGTGGATGTGGGAAACACATTAAAACTTTTATAGAGATATAGTTTACATAAAAAAATGCATAGATCTTAAACATGCATTTCAATCATTTTTAAAATATTTTATTTTGAAGTAATTTTTGAACTCCTATAGAAGTTGCAAAAAATAGTACTGAGAGTTCCCTGCGTTCTCTCCACCCGCCTTGCCCCAATGATATTATCTTACATAACCTTAGTTGAGAGGAGACGGTCCTTTGGACAGCCCAAATGGCTATAGTTTTTCCCAATCATCCCTTTTGTTGGTATTTTTAGGCTTCAGGAAGAAACCACCATACCTCCCCAAGCCTGATAAGCAGCAGATTTAAAGTGATGAAA